TGTGAAATGCTGTATGGACAGTGAATTTGCTCTGTAAATTTTCACCCAAATCATCATTAAAAAAAAAGGAAAAGGAAAATTAAAACAAGTCCATGAGAGCCAAAATATGGCCTTGAGTATAGGAAAACAAAAACTCACTGCCTTTGAGTCATTTCCTACTCACAGCAACCCCTGTTGGGTTTCCAAGCTGTAAATCTTTACAGAAGTAGATTGCCCTGTCTTCCTTCTGCAGAGCAGCTGGTAGGTTTGAACCACTGACCTTCCAGTTAGCAGTCAAGTGCCTTATTGAATTTAGACAGTATCTGAAGAGTAGATTTGATTCAGCAAACACCAACAATAGAAAACTGGGTGAGTTGTGGAATGATATAAGTACAAGATACAAGAAAAAGTAAAATGTCATTAAAAACAAGGAAGAAAAGAAAAGACCAAGATGAAAGTCAGAAAAGACTCTGAAACTTACTCTTGAATGGAGACTAGCTAAAGCAAATGGAAGAAATGATGAAAGATCTAAACAGAAGATTTCAAAGGGCAGCTGGAGAAGACAGAATAAAATATTATGATGAAATATGAAACATCTAGAGTTAGAAAATCAAAAGGGAAGAACATGCTCGACATTTCTCAAGTGGAAAGAAATGAAGAAATTCAAGCATCAAGTTGTAATATTGAAAGATTCTGTAAGTGAAATACTGAACAATGCAGTAAGCTTCAAAAGAAGTTGGAAGGAATACACAGAGTCGTTGTACCAAAAAGAACTGGTCAAAATTCAGCCCTTTCAGGAGGTACCATATGATCAAGAACCAATGGTACTTGAAGGAAGACATCCAAGCTACACTGAAGGCATTGGTGAAAAACAGAATCCTAGGAATTGATGGAATACCCATGGAGATGTTCAACAAATGGATGCAGCGCTGGAAGCGTTTACTCCTTTATGCCAGTAAATTTGGAAGACGTCTACCTGGCCAACTGACTGGAAGAGATACATATTTGTGCCCATTCCAAACAAAGGTGATCCAACAGAAAGCAGAAATTAGCAAATAATATCACTAATATCACATGCAAGTAAAATATTGCTGAAAAAAATTGAAAAATGGTTGCAGCAGTATATGGATAGAGAACTGCCAAAAATTCAAGCTGGTATCAGAAGAGTATGTGAAATAAGAGATATCATTGCTGATGTCAGATGGATCTTGGCTTAAAGCCAATAATACCAGAAAGATATTTACCTGTATTTTATTGACTATGCAAAGGCATTTGATCATGTGGATCATAATAAGTTATGGAAAACTTGGGAAGAATGCAAATTCTGGAACACTTAATTGTGCTCATGGGAATTCTGTACATAGACCAAGAGGCAGTGGTTCCAGCAAAGCAAGAGGATACTGCATGGTTTAAAATCAGGAAAAGGGTGGGTCGGGGTTGTATCCTTTCACTATTGTTGTTGTTATGTGCTGTCGAGTTGGACCAGACTCATAGCAACCCCTCCTTGGGTTTGCAGGACAGTATCACAGAAGTAGATTGCCCAACATTACTTCTGAGGAGTGGATGGTGGGTTTGAACCACCAGCCTTCTGGTTAGCAGTCAAGTGCCTTAGGCACTACGCTATCAGAGCTCCCACTTACTATACTTACTCAATCTGTATGTTGAACAAATAATCCAAAAATCTGGACTATATTAAAAAGAATGTGACATCAAGATTGGAGGAAGACTCATTAACAACCTGCGATATGCAGGTAATGCAACCTTGCTTGCTGAAAATGAAGAAGACTTGAAGGACTTACTGATTAAGATCAAAAACTGTAGCCTTTGGTATGGATTATACCTCAACGTAAAGAAAACAAAAACCCTCACAACTGGATCAATAGGCAACATCATGATAAGTGGAGAAAAGATTAAAGTTGTCAAGGATTTCATTTTCCTTGGATCCACCGTCGACGCCCATGGAAGTAGCAGTCAAGAAATCAAATGATGTATTGGGCAAATCTGCTGCAAAAGATGTATTTGAAGTGTTAAAGAGCAAAGATGTCCCTTTGAAAACTAAGGTGCACCTGACCCAAGCCATGGCCTTTTCAGTATATGTATGCATGTGAAAGTGGACAATGAATAAGGAAGACTGCAGAAGAATTGATGCATTTAAATTGTGGTGTTGGTGAAGAATATTGAATAACCCATGGACTCTGTGGTGGTTAAGTCTGAGTGTCAACTTGGCTGGGCCTGGTTGAGTGGCTGGGCAGCTGGATGTAGTATTTCCCATGATGAGACTGGTAATCAACTCCATGGTGGAATCCACTGTGAGCAGCTGAGTAGCTGCCTTTGGGTATGGTGGTCTGCTTCTCATATATAAGAAACAGCTTTGGGAATGGTCTCTAACTTATGGCATGCTTGAACTCTGCAGGTAGCCATGTCATTGTTCAGCAGCCTGCCATGCTCTGCTGATCCTGGGACTTAAATGGACTTGAATCAGTGGCCTGCTGTGTGGTTTAGTAACATCAGGACTGCGGCATTTTATTTGTCAATCTTGGGCTTGTTGCCTCAGCAGCCACTAGCTGCCTGAGTGAAGAGATGCCTCTAGCTTTAGTGGGCCAGGAGGATGAGGCAGAGCTAAAGCCCAAAACATTGAAGGGCTTTCATATAGCTCCTAGAGCCTGGCAGTTTGAACTTGGACTTAAAGCCTCCAAATTGTAAGAGTAACTCCTATTTGTTCAAGCCCTCCCATTTGTGGTATATTCCTGTCAAGAGTGGTACTAGGAAATCAAAACAGACTCCTGGAAGAATGAATAAATCTGTCTTAGAAGAAGTACAGCCAGAATGTTCCTTAAAAGCAAGAATGGCCAGACTTTGTCTCTCATACTTTGGTCATGGAATCAAGAGGGACCATTCCCTAGAGGATATAGTGCTTACATCCACCAGCCACTCCTTGGAAGGAAGGTTGGGCAATCCTACTTCCGTAGTGATACTGCCTCGGAAACCCAAGGAGGGGTCGCTATGAGTCGGGGCCGATTCGACAGCAAACAACAAAGTAGAAGGTCAGTGGAAAAGGGGAAGACACTCAATGAGATGGATTGAGACAGTGGTGCAATAGTGGGTTCACAGTTAGCAACAAATGTGAGGATGGCCCCAGGACCAGACATTGTTTCATTCTGTTGTATATAGGGCCACTATGAGTCAAAACTGGCTGAATGACACCTAACAACAATAGCGATACTGAGTATCTTTTCATGTACTTATTGGCCATTTGTATATCTGTTTATGAGAAATTCCTGTTCAGGTCCTTTGCACGTTTTTGATTGCATTGCCTTTTTATTGAGTTCTTGTTCTTAAACCCTTATCATATGTATGTGGTTCCAAAATATTTTCTCTCAATCTATAGATTGTCTTTTCACTTTGTAGATAAAGTCCTTTGATGCACTCACTGCCGTAGAGTTGGTCCTGACTCATAGTGACCCCTCTTTGGGTTTCCAAGGTGATATCTCTACAGAAGTAGATTGCCCAGTCTTCCTTCTGAGGGGTGACTGGTGGGTTTGAACTGCCAGCCTTCTGGTTGGCAGTCAAAGTGCCTTAGATGCACAAGCGTGTTTAATTCAGATGAGGTCTCATTTATCTGTCTTGTCTTTTGTTGCTCATGCTTTGTTGTCATATCCATGAATCCATTGTCAAAAACTAGGTCTTCAAGCTTACTAATTTTTAATAGATGTAAAATCCATGTCAGCTCCCTTGAGTTCTCAAATAAAAAATAAAACAAAGGAAGAAATGTGTTATGCTAAATGTGACTCAAAGCACATTGTGGGAATGTTAATTTTTTTAGTGACTTTGTAACGTGTGCTCTGAGTGAGAGCAATCTGTGTATTACACATCTGGAGATTTGGAGCTTCTGACAGCTCCCCTACCTGAGTGCCCCAACATCAGAATTCTGGGGCTGCCCATTTGTATTTATTACTAGTTTTATCTACATTTACTTGTTCATTAGAAGGCTAGATATTTTCCAATTTGTTCACTGCATTTTCTGTTCACTTATCTGCCTTTTATCACTTGTGTTCTTACCTCTTGTATGGGCCCTTGTATATGTTATAGATAGCAACTCTTCTTTCACTATTAGCGAAGAGTAGAGTGCATCAGGCTGGAGTAAGATACTTGCACTGAGTCAGGCTGGATCTATAGAAGTTTCTTTAACATCATGTGCCATCTCCATCAGAGCTCATGGTTGTGATTCTTTATGTTGGTCTGGATCTGAGACCAGCCAGTTTTTGCTGGTTCAGGATAGGGCCTTCTTGCCCTCTGAAGATGAACAGGAAAGGAGTTCTGTTCCTGCTGGTCTGGCAGATGCCAGGCCTCTCTACCCACACAGCTGGGGAGAGGGACCTTCAGCAGAGCACATGATGGGAGTCTTGGGAATGTGTCTAGGGTGGCCTCCTGCAATGTGGTGAGGGTGGCAGAGGAACTTGAGGGTTGCAGAGGGAGAACCAACTCCTCCACTCACTTGCTTTGAGACCCTGGGTACCATCCTCTCTCTTGGCCTTGCTTTCATATCTGTAAAGGAAATGTAGATGGGGTGGACTTCAAAGTTCTGCTACTGGGTTTTGTGATTTCTGCTTATGCACGCCACCCCTACCCCATGCTCTGTGGTGAAAGGGCAATGAAGACTCTTACTGAGGTAGTCCTTATGGTAGGGTGTGTCCAGAGCCCTCAGCACCTATCTCTACTGCCTCTCCTATGGTAGCCCTGGAGCCCTGACACCTGCTTCCCACATACTTCAATGTGTGCTCCTGGGCCACCCTCTCTTCGCCTCACCCTGTCTTGCTAAACCTCCTCTGTATAGACACTTGGCATAGCCTTTCTGGCCCCCGTCCTCCCTGTCCACACCTCCAGCACACACTCTGCCCATCTGCACCCGGCTGCTTAGGCCTTGGGTTCTTCCAGACTGAGCAGGCCCCCAGAGCTGTGCAGATGGAAGGGCTCTGAGGATTGCAGATGTGTGAGTGACGGGTCTCTGTTTCCCATTACAGCTGTGTTGGGGTGGAAGAGGAGGAGGCACCAGATATCGACATATACCATTGCCCGAACTGCGAGAAAACCCATGGGAAGTCGACCTGTAAGTAAGGAGCTCCCACTGTTGCCTCCTTCCCACCTAGGCCAGGAGCAGGTCTGTGGGTAGAAGTGCCAGGCATCAGGGGTGGAGCCAGAGCAGTCTGCTTGAGATTTAGCTACTGGCCAGGAAGCCTAGGAGGCCCACTGGACTGGCTTACAGTCTGTTATTGAGCCGTTAGGCTTCCTGTGTCTCCTCATATTCACTCTGTGATGGAGGAATTGAAGAGATACCCAGCTTAATTAGTTAAGCTGTTAATTTTCTCACCCTTAGTCAGAGCTGCAGAACTGTAGGAGGGCTGTCTAGCCAGGCTGTCCTGCACAGTGAGCTATGGGTGCCACTGAGAGGTTTGACAAGGGCTCTGGTGCCCAATCCCCTCAAGGTGTCTTAGGGCTGCCTGGATCCCATCTGGGAGTGGGCATGATCAGCAATCTCCAGCTGGTCCCACAGCTTTCCCTAGCAAAGCTGTAGCTGGTGAGGGTGGGAAGGGTAGATGCCTCAGGCTTGGGTGCTCTGAGACTCCTCCTAGCCTTGCATGGAGTGGCCCTGCCCCGACACTAGCTGTCCAAGCCTTGTTCAGCATACTTTGCTCCAGCCACATATTGATACTAGCCCACTTCAGCCACCTGTGGAGTCAGATCAGGGCTGGGGCTGTCTGACATGCCTGTTTAATACAGGGTGAGCATGGCCTGCCAAGGGATGAGTTCTCCAGGTGGTTAATTAGAAGTGTGTCTCCTTTCTTCCTCATATACCTGCACCTTTCTCTTATGTCTGCTTTTAGTCTGACCCTTCTGTGCCTCAATTTCCCCACCATACAACCCTGGCCTACCAGGACAGGCCAGTTCACTCCTGGGGTGTCCTTGACTCTCTGCTTGTCTCTCTAGCTATGTGGTCTCAGTATGGTGCCACACCTCTGGCCTCAATCTCTTCCTCTGTGAATGGGAGAAGATGAGGGGATGTTGTGATGCCCTTTAAGGCAGATTTGGTCTGGGACAAGCATTCCTCAGAGATGAGGATGGGCTTAGGGGAGTCAGCATCTGCCCAGCCCCAGATCATGAGGCTGGATTGGACCCTCAAAGGCTCTCTTCCCTCCCACAGTGCTTTCTTCTCCTCCGGCCCCCTCCCTGTGCTACCCCTGCTCTCCATTATGCTGTGCCTACCTGTTCCTTGTAGCCTCTCCTCTACACAGTGTGTTGCTACAGGCAGGTGTCTCCCACGACAGCTTTACCTGCTCTCCCCTGTGAGTCCCTGAGCACTTCTGCTGACCCCCTTGCAGGGGGTACCCTGGAGGGAGCCCTACTATTACTGTGTTGGTGAGAACTCAGGTGGAGGAGCTCAACCTTTGGTTCTACATCTCCCATATGAAATACACATAACCACTCTGACTCTTGGGCCTCAAGTTTGGGGTGATTTTTGTAAGCTCCGAAGCCCTGTGCACAGGTGCTGTCCACAAGTTCATCTGTGCAGCCTCACTCAGGAGAGGGCAGATGTTTCATGGAGACATTGTACAGGTGTTGTACCCATTACTGTTTTCCTCAGGTGTGTGGACTGAGCATCTCAGTGCCACTGGGGACTGCCCAGCAAGCCTGTATCTCCACCACACTGGGTCTGAGCTCCTTCAGAAGCAGGGCCCTGGCCAGCTTTTGCTCTGGAAACATTGCTACTGTCCTTGGTTTGCAGAGTTTAGCTCAGGTGGGCCTGGCAGCCTGTGGCAAAGACATCCCCATGCCCCAGTGGGCCAAGAGGGTGAAGTGGCGCCAGTCACCTCTGGCCCTCTAACCTTACCTGGTTCAGGTTGGAACTGAGGGGCAATGAACTGAGCCCAGTATGATGAACTGAACATTCTCTGCTTGGTGGTGATGAAGTTGGATCTGCTGATCTCCATCTAGTGGCAGTGTGACAAGGTTGGGTCCACTCTGTTGTGGCACATGAGTACAGGCATGAGCTGAGGCTCTGGACACACACTCACCTGGTAAGCAGATATCTCCACACCAGGCAGCAATGCCATCAGAAAGGTACTTAGGAAAATAGTGCCGCTATAGAGCCCTGGGTGACAGATAAATCTCACAGTGACCCAAGAAATCTGGTACTAGTATCTCTGTATGAAAGACAAGGAAACTGAGGCACAGAGGTATCAAATGACTTGCTCAAGGCCTCCTGGCTAGAAAATCATAGAGGCAGGGTCAGATCTTAAAGGCTGACTAGGAAGGTCTAGATATGTGCCCCTTTCAGACTCACCTGGGCCTGGCACTGCTTGAGACATTCTGGTTCCAGGCCCTAACTCTGTTATCTTACCAAGTTTCCACAATTTCCACTCACATCTTGGTAACAGAGATCAGATATGCTGTGGAGGTTCTACAAACGAAAATGCTATGCTGTTGCTGGTTTTAGTAATAGTGATTACTGAAGAGTCTCTTTGAATCTGTAACTTCATGGGGGAACCAGAAAGAATCTTTCCTTCCTGGAAGAAGAGGTTGATTTAGAATGAGGGACAGTGAGCACTGCCCCCTGCCCGGCTGTTCAGGGACACTACTGTCACAGCATCAATTCTTCTGGGCCTGGAGACTTGGACTACTGGGAGAGATGGGCTTTCTTGCCCCTAGCCATCCTAGCTAGGGTGTGCCCTCCCTTAAGCATGCTGCTGGCTCTCACCTTGGAGGGAGGTGCCAGTCTAGGCCCTGCTTGGCTCATCAGGCACTCAGAAGGATCCTGTCCAGGTCTGATTTTGAGTTTAGTCTCAGTATTTTACAGAATCAGCCTATTTGCAGATCCTGCAGATCAGCCCCAAGAGGTCATATCTGCCCACGGCTGTGTCCTTCCCTCCTCAGTAACTATGTGTCTACCCAGGACTGAGGTATAGGCTGGGCATCAAGGATAGTGATGGTGGAAAAAGAAATCATTCCCTCCCTCATAGAGCACATAGCCCTGTAGGGGTGTGAGTGCACATGCATGTGGTTTGGGTGGTGCATGTGTGTGGTGTGAGTGTGTGCATGTGTATACATGTGTGTGGTGCATGTGTATGCATGTGTGTGAGCATATGTGCATGTGTTAAGTACCAGATGCTCTGGGAGGAGAGCATGACCAAAAGGACAGCTTAAAGGAGCAGTGTTGGAGGTGTTGGAGCTGGGCCCAGAAGATGCTTAGAAATGTGCCTATGGGAACAGTGTGGGCCAGGGTGTAGACAGGAGAGGATGTGTTTGTGGGCAGGGAAGTGTGCTGGTTGGGGAGTATGTGGAGGGGAGTAGGAACAAGCTAGGTAGTCTTATCTCTGTGTGCTGTGGCTCTGAGGGCAGCAGCTGTCAAGCAGGGGAGTGATAGGACTTATTGTCCTTGATGATAAAGCTGAGGGTGAGGGTATGGCAGCAGTGAGCCCAGTTAGTAGAGTGGTGACATTTCAGGTCAGGAGTAATGAGACCAGGACCTTTTCAAGAGGTGGTGGTTCTGCAGAGGCTTCATTAGGCTAAGTGCAAGAACAGGGAGGGGTCCCTGGAGATCCCCAACTTCTGGACCAATAGTATTAGACAGTGGTGCTGTGGGCTGAGCTCAGAAGTTGGGGAGGTGTGAGTGGGGGTGGGAGAATATATTGAGGCTGTGGGAGGTAGAGGGAAGGTGACAGAGCTCTGCTAGGGAGGTGATAGGAGGTAGGGGTTTCATTCCCAGAGGGGATGCCTCTGAAGAGGTTTTTAGCCTTGTTGTATCCACAGGCACCAGCCCCTACCCTTGTAGGTTTGCACCCTCCCTGTCTGCTCCCCCAGATGGACAGCACAGTGACCATCTTTTGTCCCTCTCTCCACAGTGAAGAAGAAGCGGAGCTGGCACAAACATGAGCAAGGGCCAACACCTGATGTCAAGCCTGTGCAGAATGGCAGCCAGCTCTTCATCAAGGAGCTGCGGAGCCGGACCTTCCCCAGGTGGGTAGCCTGTCACAGGGAGGGCCCCAGAGGTCACTGCTTGCCCACTCCAGGGGGACTTGGTTGAAGGGGGATCTAGGGGTTCAGGAGAGCCTGCCTGAGGCAAGTGGAGAGAGAGGAAGGAGACTGTGTGTCTGCCAGTGGCATCATCACATACCCACTAGTGATACTGCTGCTTCTGGGGAGGTGCCCAACTTCCGCTCCTCCCTCCTCACAATGGAGAAGGAGTCCCCTTCCCAGCACACCCTCTGGGGAAGGTATTGTTGGAGAAAACTTTTCCTCTAGGCACAGGGGTAGGAGAGAAGGACCCTATATCCCCGCTTCACACACACATGTGGGTATGCCCAGCACCTGCCCTGGTGTTCTGCCTGGGCTTCTCCCACTGAATCTTGTGCTGATTCTGAGGTAAAAGTCATCATCCTCATTTTACAGGCTAGGAACTGGGGGTAGGTACTGTCTAAGAGCATCCACTCATCACAGCCTGTTGGATCTGAAACCAAAAGTCCAGTTTCACATTATTTTAAACCCTTCCCATTAATTACATTAATTTGTCTTTCTATAACAAATAAGATTTCTTTGCATATTCTGGATGCTAGTTACTTATCAGGTATTTTCTTCCATGTTGTGGGATATCTGAATTTCACCTTTGTTTCTTTAATTTTTATTGTGATCTGGTGAAAATTTGCAGAACAAATTCATCTTCTATATAGCAGTTCGCATACACTTTGTCTCAAGACATTGACTGCAATCTCCCACAGTGCAACAGATGTAACAACTCCCAACCCTTCTTCCCACTTCCTCCCCTTAGCCACCTCTTCCCTGTGTCCTTCCCTTCCATGCACTCCTGCCCCTGAGCTGTCTCCCTGTGCATACACAACCCTTCTATTCTCCCATGATTGATCTCTCCAAGGAGTGTATCTACCTAATGTAAATGTTCAACTCATATGCCTGTGTTTTGTTTGGCTGGAAGCCACAGAAGTGGGTTCAGTTCCAGACCTGAAGAGCAGCTAGGGGCCATAGTCTCAGGGGTCCCACCAAGGTTTATCAGACTAGCAAACCTTGTCCCATTTTTTTTTTTTTTTTTTTTATGATTTTGAGTTTTGTTCCACATTGTTCTCCCACTCTATTCAGGATCTCTTACATAGATCCCCCTCTGAGTGGTTGACAGTGGTAGGTGGGCACCATCTAGTTCTTCTGGTGTCATAGTCATATAGGCTGAAGATCACATAGTGTACAAGTCCCTTGGACTAATTGTTTCCATGCGTCTTTAGTTTTCTTCATTCTTCTTTGTTCTGGGCTAGGAGAGACCCCTCGTTGCATCTAGATGGCCACTTGCAAGCTTTTAAGATCACAGTCACTACTGTCCAAAGTAGGATGTGGAACAATGTTTTTGTGTAGTGTGTTATGCCAGTTGATCTTGACGTCCCCTTTGACTATGGTCCCGAGCCCACAGGTCCAACTGCTTGCTCCCTCTGGGTAGCTGGCTATGACCAAGAAGTGACTACAACCTTGTCCCTTGTCAGTTCTACTTTATATCTGGAAATTCTTACAGAATATACAAATACACTTATAGAAACATTGTCTGCCAACCCCATATATACTTTTCACCTTTCTTGACAGTGACCTCTGAAGCACAAATTTTTAAATTTTTATTCAGTCTAATTTATCTATTTTTCTTTGTTTGCTTGTCATTTACTGTCATATCTGAGAATCTGTTGCCAATCCAAGATCATGAAGATTTACCCCTATCTTTTCTTCTAAGGCTTTTATAGTTTTAGCTTCTACATTTAAATCTTTGGTCCATTTTGAGTTAATTTTTATATATGATGTGAGATAGGGGGCCCAACTTCATTCTTTTACATATGGAGATCCAGTTGTCCTAACACCATCTGTTGAAGAGTCTGCTCATCTCCCATCGTATTGTCTTCGCATCCTTGTTGAAAATAAGTTGAGCATAAATGAGTTCTGTTCCATTTATCAATATGCTTTTCCTTGTACCAGTATGATACAGTCTTGATTATTGTAGCTTTTTAGTGAGTTTTGACATTAGGAAGTGTGATTCCTGTACTTTGTTCTTCTTTTTCAAGATTGTTTTGGCCATTCTAGGTTCCTTGTATTTTCATATGAATTTTAAAATCAACTTGTTAATTTCTACAGTGAAGGCAGCTGAATCTATTGATTGATTTTCCATGATTTTTTGCATTGTGCTACTTCTTTCTAGGTTTGATATCTTCTTGCTGAAAACATCCTTTATTATCTTTTGACATTTATTATTGCTGATGAGATGTCTTTGTCAGTTTAACTACTGTTGTTTTTTTTTTTCTTTTTTTTTGGGGGTGTGTGTGATGGTGGTAAATAATCTGGTTTTTTTCACTGAAAATATTTAAGATGGTCTTGTCATCCTTGATGTTCCATGGTTGTACTTTAGGAAGCTGTGCTCAGGACTCAGCTTCTTTAATCTGAGGAGTCATATTTTAATCTCAATTCTGAAAAATCTTCTGTTTTTTTCTTTTAACAGCATTTCCCCATTCTATCATCTTTTAGATCTTTCATCAAATTCTCTTATTTTTCCAGCTAGCTACTATTTAATAATCTACTGAGTTTTTTATTTCAATCATTGTATTTTCTCCTTTCAGAATTTCTATTAAGTTCCTTTTCAATGTTGCCTGTTCTTTTTCCATACTGACTTCTTCTTTGCCTAAATCCTCCCATTATCTCTCTGAATAGGTTTAATACATTTATCTTAAAAGCTTTATTTTGACTGTCCTATTATCCTTGTTCTTAGAATTGACTTTTTTTGCTGGTTGTGTCTGCTGACTCTCTCTCCTGATGGTTGACTTCCTTATGTAAGGAGTGATTCTCCAGAGGAGTTATTTTCCATGGGAGCTGATATGCCCTGGGATGGTGGGTATTCCTACAAGGTGGTATTCCGTTTGCTTTTTGCTGGGGCCCCATGTGTTGCACAGCTCTAGATCCAGTTTTGGTTTTCTAATTCATAAGTATAGTATGAATTTGGAACTCTCACTAGTGAGATGAGGGCTTAATCTGATTTATCAAGGAAGACTTTCTAGTTGTGTCTCCAGTAAATGACAAGCTTCTTTGTGGCTTCCTTAGCTCACTTTGCACTATCTTGATATTCCTTGAGCTTTTTAGCTCAAGAGAGTTGCCTGCATATATACTTCCTCCCTTCTTACCTTCCATCCATTCCTTCTGACTAACCCTGTTACCATATGGTTAATCACAATGAACACTCTTCAAATCTCATCCTTTGTTTTTATTTATTTATTTATTTAGGTGAAAATGTATACAACAAAACATGCACCACTTCAACAATTTCTACATGTACAATTCAGTGACATCTGTTGTCAATACTTATCTTAATTATCCTCTTGACAAAATTTGATACTGCAACCTATCCATCCTTGGAGTCCTCTTTTCTTGGAGGCAGTGGCACCATGCTCTCCTCCTGTCTGGCTGGCTTCCTCTCTTGACTGCTTTCCCTGAACACTTGTTGAGAACTCTACTCTTGTCTCCCACCCTCAGTCCATTCTCAGGGTCTTACACATTGTCTGTTTGTCAGCTGCTTCTCAGCTTCTCTACCAGCCTCTAGTTCTGTGCTCCTGACCTGTATACCCACTAGAATGTCCACTGAAGAACCCAGCATTCATCTCTGGCCAAATGTGTCCCAAACATAGTTCTTTCTCTGCCCCCTGGTCCCCACTCCTACTTCTCCTCCTGCTGTCCACAAGTGATCCTGCCACCTTAGTCCCTCACTGAACCAGATATTTGGCCATCAACTTTGCCTCATCCTGTTTTCTTGCTCCTGCTTGATCCATTACCAAGATAGTGTGAATCCCCTCCTTCTCCACGGTCACCTAGCCTGGATGCCTACATGGCTTTGTCACCTCCCTAGTGGGCTCCTGTCCCACTTAGTCCTGCTACAGTCCCTTCTCCATACAGAATCAGACAGAACCTCTTAACATGCATGCCAGGTTACTCACAGCCTGTTTAACCTGACCCATAGCTTCCCAGTGCTCTTGGCACAAAGCAGCTTACAAGACCTCCCAGGTCTGGCCCCACCCCTTTCTGATCTCAGTACTCTGCCTTGCTCTGCCTCTCTGCCCTCCAGCACCCTGGCTTCTGCTAACTCCTCAAACTTGTCCAAATCTCTCCCACTTCAATGGCCCTTGCAGCCACTCTTCCTGCTGTTAGGAACTCTTTTCTTCTAGCTTCTTCTCTTCTTCTTCAAGGCTTAGTTTAAGCTCCTTCTCTTAAGAGAGGCCTCCTGGATTATCCAACATCCAATGTGGTGCTCTGCTCAATGTATCTTCCTGTTTTCCCCACAGCACTGGTCAGTCTGTGGTGGTTTTGTGTCCTTGTGTTCTCAGCTGATTACAGCTAGTCCCAGACCCACAAGGCAGGGACTGCTCCATTGGGCCCCCAGGTGCCCAGTATCCAGGGCAGCACCACATCCAGCAGGTATGTGGGAGGAAGGGAAGAAGGCGAGAGGTGCTGGAGGAAAGAGAAGCAGCTGAGCCATAGCTAAAGCCAAGGTAGTGGTCAGCTGTGTGGCCTGCACAACCACAGCCCTTCTGGGCTCCCTCCCTGGAATGATTTCTAAGAAGGGATGTTGCTCTATGATATCCTTTCCCTGTGCATCCCTCTCTCCTGCCTCTGTCCCTAGAGTGGCAAACAATGCCAGATAGAGACCAGGCCATGACCCACCTGGAGGGCCTTTGCTGTATATTCAGCCCAGGGGTTGGCCTATGAGGGTATAACCTACCAGCCTTCAGGATGCCCACCCCTGCTATTTTATGAATGCACACCATCAAGCTGTGCATCTGCAGAAGAAAAAGCCCTGTCCACATGTCTTGGTACTGGCATCCCTCTCAGTTTTGGTATCCCTGAACTCCTGTTAAAAGGAAGCTATGTACTCAGTGGTCTTGTAGCTTTCTCTGCTAGGATACCCTTCTGCTGTATCAGTTCTCATGGTTGCCAGCTGTGACTCTGTGGCTCTTGCTCTCCAGCTGCCTGGATTTTAATGAGTTCTAGGGAGGTACCTGAGGGTCTTTCCCAGGTTAGGTCGCTCGACCTCCCTAAACGTTGAGCGTGTTGGGCCAAGTGTCCCTAGCTCCCCTCCGAACTTTCTGACTGTGGAGCCTTGGTGTCATGACCAGATTTGCAGTGTGATGCCTGTGTCCCAGTCCACTGAGCCCTGGTATTCTATAGCTCTCAGATGACCATGGGATGTAGCACTGTGGACAGATTTGGTCAGGAGTATAGACTTTACTGTCTGTTGTGCACAGCCTGGCCTTGTCTCTACTTCCCTGCCCATGACAGTAGTTGATAAGTGCACATGATTGTGATGTATGTTAGCCCTGACCGTTGCTCTGACCTTCCCTTCCCCTGCAGTGCAGAGGACGTGGTGATCCGTGTGCCAGGCAACCAGCTCACACTAGGCTACATGGAGGAGCATGGCTTCACTGAGCCCATTCTTGTCCCCAAGAAGGATGGCCTGGGCCTGGCTGTGCCAGCCCCCACCTTCTACGTCAGTGATGTCGAGAACTATGTGGGTAAGTGTTCCTGGCCCTGTAGATGGACATTCAGATGCTGTGACCATGCTTCCTGAAGGGGACCAAGGTGTGGCATGGGCTCACAGGGCTCACATGTGCTGTAGGGTTTAGGGGCAGGGGGAGGCTCCTGGTCTGCACAAGGTACTTGGCTTCTTAGACCTTGTATCCTGTGAGCCATGTGTGGGCCTGATGAGCCATTCCATCAGTTTTTCTGGCTGCAAAGTGGGGGGCTGGTCTTGGGGAATCCAGGGATTCTGCCAGCTGTAAAATCCACTACAAAAATAAAAGCCAAACTCACTGCAATTGAATCGGTTCTGACTCATAGCAAACCCCCACTGAGTTTCTACCACTACAGTTGGGTCTATGTGGTGCTGTCATGCCAGGAAGGCCTTGAGTTGTAGGGGCCTCCCCTGGTATTAGTGCAGGCTCTACTCTTGCTAGGCCCTTGCCTCCTGTGGCCAGCCTATGCCCCAGTTCTCTTCATCTATGCAGGACCCACTTTCCTCAGTGTCGCACCTTCTCTGAAGCAGTCTTTCCTGGTTAGTCTAGGTTCCAGAAGGAAGCAGGTGATGCTGTGGGCAGTGCCAACTTATACCCTCTGCTGGTTTCCAGGCTCTGTGTGCACTGGCCCATGGCATTTCTGGGGGAAGGAAGGGGCTTGTGTGTGTTAGGGTAGCACCTGTGAGGGGCCACCAGAGAGGACCAGTAGCCAGCTGGCTTAGCTTGAGGCCCTCATTGTTGCTGAAGCGGAAAGTGCTCAGGGGAGAGGCCTGCAAAGTTGCAGAAAACAAAACAAACAAACAAAAAAACTCACTGCCCTCAAGTCATTTCTAACTCATAGTAACCCCTCCTTGGGTTTCCAAGGTGGTTTCTCTATGGAAGTAGATAGCTCAATCTTCCTTCAGAGGAGTGGCTGATGGGTTTGAACCACCAGCCTTCTGGTTAGCATTCAAATGCCTCAGGCACTACAGCCTTCAAGACTGTAGTGGGGAGGGAAAATCCAGAAAAGACAATGGTCATGCCATGCCCCCAGACTGCTCTTTAGACTGGAGAGAGCTTCAGCTGAGGCTGCTGCAGACCCTGGAGTCTCTGTTACCTAGTGCTGCCCCTAGTGGTACTGAACAGAAATTCTTACAGTGCAAAACGAAACCAAAACCAAACTCACTACCATAGAGTCGGATCCAACTCATAGTGACCTCTCCTTGGGTATCCGAGGTGGTATCGCTACAGAAGGCAGCTCTGGTAGCTAGTGCCTAACGTACTTGACTGCTAACCAGAAGGCTGGCGGTTCAAACCCACCACCCACTCCTCGGAAGGAAGATAGGGCATTCTACTTCCATAGTGATACTGCCTTGGAAACACAAGGGGGGGTCACCATGAGTCGGATCCAACTCAACAGCACATAACAACAACATCACTACAGAAGTAGATTGCCCAGTCTTCCTTCTCACAGTTCTCACAGTGCAGGGGGCCAGAGGGCCAGAAGTCCCAAAATCAGGGACAAGCAAGAGGGAGGTGCTTCCTTGTCCATTTCAGTTTCTAGTACCGGTAGCCCCTTACTTGTCATGGGGCTCTGTTTCAATATCTAAGTTGGTTCTAAGTCATTCTAAGTCAAATATCTTTTTTTTTTTTCAATCTTGATTATTATTGACTTTTATTATCAGTATCTTTATAAATCCAATCTTTGAACATCTGTGAGTGAACATCTGAGAATGATAACATCAGCAAATTATATACTGGAGCATTATATGTAGTACATAATACTAACGTTAAGGTGTATGGCTTAACTCAAGAATGTGGTAAGTCAGGGGCTATCTATAGCTACCAGCAATCTTAGATGCATCTGTCTCCATTGTCTGTCTCCTTCCTGTTCATGTCTCTGTCCATTCTGCTTTTTTGTAACTCAGAAGTAATTAGGTTTAGGATCTACTCTATACTGGTATGACCTCATTAATATAATGAAGAAAACCCTATTTCAAAATAGGATCTTATTTATAGGTATGGCTCACATAGCTATGAGTGGTCAGGCCAGGCTTGGCCTGTTGCTATCCTTGCCCATAGCTGTCCCTGCCAGAGAAGGGAAATCACTTTCTCCATATAGGAAGAGATGGATCCAGGCTATTATTTTAATTTTTTATTTCTTTAATAGACTTTATTTTTCAGACCAGGTTTATGTTTACTGAAAAATTGTACAGAAAGTACAAGAACTCCTGTATACCTCCCTCCTCCATGGTTTCCTCTATTATTAACATTTTGCATTCCTAAGTACATTTATTACAATTGATCAATTTGTTATAATAGATAAATTATTATTAACTGAAATACATAGTTAACAGGGTTCACTCTTTGTGTTATATGCTATGGGTTTTGACCAATATATAACGTCATGTGTCTACTATGACGGTATCATACAGAATAGTTTCACACATATCCCCAAAACCCAAACCCACTGCTACTGAGTTGATTCCAGCTCAAAAAGGAAACCATGTGAATCCATGTGCTGCACCCTAGCCTCAACAGCCTCTAGCTCTCTGCTGTTTTCTGTCTCCCCCATGTCTTTTTCCTCTGGAGTATTTTAGAGGAAATCTCTGGTCCTCACATCAGTTCAACCATAAAATCTCCACTACACATCTCCATGTTTTTAAAAAACATACAACTCCATCATCATACTCTATATTAGTATAATTCCTTAATCTCATCTAGACTAGTTTAGTTCTCTCCAGTAGCCTCAAAAATATCTTTTTACATTTGGCTGTTTGAATCAGTATCCAAACAAGACCCACACAATACATTTGTTTTTTATGTCTCTTCTGTTTTATTCCATAGCACTCTCCCTGCCCCAAACTCATTCATTCCATGGATTTGTTGGAGATGCAGCGTGATTGGTCTTGTAGAATTCCCAGTTTAGATTTGGTGACAGCTTTCTTGTCATTTAACATGTCTCTCTGTCCCAGCAGCCAGGGTTAGAGGCTGGGTCCAGTTCAGAGTCACTTTGAGGTGGGCCTACCTAACAGGTGGTGGGTATGCTGCCTTTTCTCAGGGGCCTGCACTGTCTGGCCTCCCACCAGTAGTGGGTCCTGATGGTCAGCATTATCCATACACAGAACTTCCCCATCAGCCTTACGCCTAATGGTCTGACCAGCCACTGGGAATTGCTGCAAAGTGAATTTTCTACTTCTATTACTTTTCCTTCTTTTATTAACTGCAAGTCTTCTGTGAAGAACTTTCCTCAGCATTTATTTGGTTATCCTGAACTTTCTAGACATACTTACACTAAAAATATTATTATTTATCTGAAATTCACATTTAACTGGGAGTCCTATATATTCACTTGCAAATCAGACCACACTACCTGAGGGCCTTGTGACTCAGTCTTCTCATGGCACTGTCTTGGGTTATCAGGACCATCAAAGGAAGGAAGGTGTAAATACCTTGTTAAATGATGGAAGCATCAGTGGGTAGAGAGTCAGAAAGTAGAACTCAGTGCTTCAGACTCCAGGCCTTTTCCTTGGTAGTGCTGTCATGATGTGAAAGTAGCTGAGAATGTGTGAGTGTGAGTGTGTGGGTTTGAGTGTGTGAGTACAAGTGAGTGAATGTGAATGCATGAGTACATGATTGGTATGTGCATGTGCATATGTGTGTGAGTGCATGGCAGTGAGTGTGTGGGTATATGAGGGAGGGCATGAGTGTGGATGTATGAGTGTGTGAGGACATGTGAGTGCATGAATAGGTGAGTGTGAAGGTGTGTAAATGCAGGGGTGTGTATATGAGTTCATGAGTGTGTGTGTGTGTGCATGCACACATTTCCCCTTGGGTGGCAGGGGCATGGCCTCATGGGTGGCCTGGTGCTCCTCCCTGGGTGAGGCTTACCTCCTCTTACCCGGCCTTCCCAGGCCCAGAGCGGAGTGTGGATGTTACAGACGTCACCAAGCAGAAGGACTGCAAGATGAAGCTGAAGGAGTTTGTGGACTACTATTACAGCACCAACCGGAAGCGGGTCCTCAACGTCACCAACCTTGAGTTCTCTGACACCAGGTGAGTGGCCAGGGCACAAGAGGAGCAGGAAGAGGGCCTAGCTTAGCACTCTACCTCCCTGCCCTGTGGGTAGCTTACCCCCATCCCCAGGCTCCTGGGCCTGACAAGACAGCCTGGACCACCATTGCCAGAGGGAGGCCTGCTGCAACCACCATGATGCCTAAACCATGCAGGCACCAGCTGTGTGATGAGCAAGTGTGAGTTGCATCTGCTTCTGGCTCTGCTCATCCCAGACTCCCATCTTCACAAACTCTGCCTTTATTGTCAGCTCCAGGAGGCCTGGGGGCCTGCCCCCTGCTCAGATGGGTGGGTTTTCATGAGTAATGACAAAGTGAGGGGATAGGGTTTATTTAGAGTTCAGATGAGAGCTCTCCTCTGGACACTAGGGGGATCTGGGAGTCTCAGAGGCATTAACTGTGGGAAAGCAGGCTGGGCCCCTGGGGATATGTCCATATGTGGAATTGGATGGAATGGCCCCAAGCTGGCCTGCAGAGCATGACACTATTTATGGGCAGAGGTTCCAGGACTTGCTAGAGGAGGGTCAGAAGAAGAATCATGGGCAGAGAGTGTTCCTTCAGAGAGAAGAGGGTCTGTGAGTGAGGGCCTAGAGTCAGTCAAGGGAATGCCAGGATCTGGCTCTGGACTAGGCATAGCCTTTTCTGAGTGGACACAGCAGCATGTTCTTATGGGACAGCTGATGTTCTGGTTCTGTCTGCCTGAAGCTTATTTTTGGGGTGTGAAGTAGTCATTGTTGGGGTCTCTGGGCTTGGCAGTTTGGATACAGTATTGGCATGTTATCCTGGGCAGTGCATTTTAATTGGATCAAAGGCTGCTTTTGCCCATTTCATGCTCCCTGGATTTGGTGGGATGTGGTGGGGCATGGCAAATGCTTCACTGTGGCTGTGGAGAGCAGGGCAACAGTTGGAAGCCTGCGTGGTGCAGGGCAGAAGGTGTCTGCCAAGCATCCATAACTCCACTCCGCACATCAGTGCAGCCAGCTTGAGGTCACTGCTTTCTAGAAAACTGTCCATTTCCTCTAGATTTTCAAATTTGTTGGAATATAGTTCTTCATAGTATCCTGATATTATCCTTTTTATTTCAGTTGGTTCTGTTGTGATGTCACCCATTTCATTTCTTATT